TAGATAAATCAGGTTTGTAATTGCTACACGGTACTCTTAATACATTATCAAGATGAGAATCAGTAAGCCGATTTCTATATACATTTTTTGCATATTTCATTTTAGAATAAGATGATTCGCAAAGATACGTTGATGCAAATAACGTGAGCAGCATTTGGGCACATTTTTGTACAATCTTGTAATTTTCAAGCACTAATTTCCAAAATTCGACATACTCCTTTTTCTCCCTCTTTTCTTTAAAAATAATCTCCAGATTTGTATCGTTTTTGAGTTCGATGAATTCATCAAATAGCTTTGCATAATCATATCTTAATGCAGCTAGTTGTGTAATTATTGTTTCTAAGTGCCAGGGATTTTTATAAATAACAATTTTTAATATTTCTTAAATCCTGAAATCTGCTATTAAATTCTTTGGATAAGGCAGCTAAATAATTTCAAATGATCGTATAGTTTTCTGGAGAAATGTCAATACCATCTTGTTTAGCTTTTGTTACAATTGGAAAATTATGCAGTATTTGATTTTGTATTACTTTGGAATAGATGCTTAATTTTTCTTCAAAAGCAAATACTTTATTCGCCATCTGCAAAACAATTTTATTTTCACCCTATAAACCATGATTGAGCTCATTAAGTTTTTTGTAATGTCGCACAAAAAGGCTAAAAGACACCACCATCCATCATCTTCAAGTTTACTGTGAACTTTATTGTTTTGTTGTAAAAACAAAATAATTTCTTGCCGTAAAGAAAAAACCAATCCAAAACTTTTCCTCTGCTTAGCCATCGCACCGTTGTAATGTAAAAGAACGTCGCTATAATTGCTGTTCATTTCTTCTAAAAGACTTGTGAATTTTCTGTGGCTTAGTTCTCGTGCTCGGATATAATTCACTACTCAGATAGCCAACTGAGTGCAACTTGTTGGCAACTTGCTACAAATATTGCTCATATGTTTTCAGCAATGTAACAAAAGGGTGTATCCTCTTTTCAGTATGTTCTTGCCAACAACAGTTTTCAAAATATAATAACAGCAAGTTTCCAACATCTCATCGGCAATAAACTTATATTATTTTTCTCAACTTATAAATAAAAATTATTGCCCACATATTGCTCACATATTGCTGACTCACATGTCAAAAACATTGGCTACAACAATTGATTGACAGTAAAACTCAGCATATTGATTCTGAATTGACAAAAACATTTTCGTTGCTTTAAATAAAAACAACACAACAGCAATTGGCAAGCAACTTCATCTATACAATGATTTGCTTTATATTGAGTTTTCACATTTGGTTATCTGGATATCTTTATGACGGTTGTCATCACGGCGTCTACTTTTTCCATGGAGATACGTGCTGCCAAGTTCTCTTGGTGAACAATATAATGAAATGATAAAAGATTTATTAAATTGTATTTCTCTTTCAATAGGGAAATTCATTTTTGCATCCAGTCATTGCGGGACACATCCATCAGTGCACACACAAACTCATTTTTTTATATCAATATTATTCTTCTCCAGAAAAGTACTAACAATATCGAGACAATCTGTGCCTCTGGTTTGATTCTTTATAGGAAGAAATTTCAAAAAATTTTCATGACTTAAATTCTGTTCAGTATCTAACGAAAACAGAACATTGTGATATTGCTGAAATGTCGGTGCTAAAATCAAAAGCCAAGCTAAAATATTTACAATTTTTCAAATCTTCTATAATGTAATCAAAAATGTGTTTTTCAATATCTTCAATATGTCTAACGCAGGTAGAATCTAAGAGCTGCATTTTTTTAATTTGCGATATTATTTGAGTTTTGTTGCTAAATTTATCAAATAATACATCGGAAGCATTGATGAAACATTCCTTCACAATCTCTGCGTCAGTAAATGGTTTTATATGTTTATTAAGTATGTAACAAATTTCATATGATGCTCTTGTCACCGCTGCATCTTGTGATATCGTTATTGATATAACACTTTGTTGTTGTTGTAAAGACTTCTTGAAGAAAGTTAACTTTTCACATCTTATTAAAGATCCGCGAGGAAAAGTGTCATTAAATGATTTGTATTTTGTGACGAACAATGTTATATTTTTTTAATATAACACTTTCACGACAAATCAAACAAGTTGCCGAACCGTGTTTATTTTGCACAACAAAATATTTGTTTTCCCAATCGTCTTGAAACATTCTATTTCCGACGGATATTTTTTGTTTACATGTAGAAGACACTTCTGTTATTGTGGGTAATTAAATTATAGTTTGACAAAATAACACTTTTCAAAACAGTCACAAGTTGTATCCGTTCTGTGTAGTCAATACCTGAAATTATCAGAAACAAAACTGTCACGCATCAACGTACTGCAGGCCGATAAGATGTAGCACATTATTTATAAACAAAACAACGCACGGGGCAAAGGGATACGCCCGATCCTTTCAATCCCTTCTACTTCTTACGTTCTGAGCGGCCAGGTCGGCGGTCGTGCAGCCAGAAAATCAGCACGGCCCCGAGACCGCATTAGAAAGAATACGCACGCTCAGAACTTAAGAACAGAGATGCCAGTTTTGAGCAGCATGCTATAGCGGTGGAAGGGATGCGCACAAAGCAATGAGTACTATTGACAGCTCACAAGAATTCGCTTTACCCACAAGCTAACAGATGCAAGGGGCAAGGAGAATCGTCCGTTCGCTCCACCCAATCTTTTCTACTAGGGCTGTGTTCCAAATTTACTGCCAGCGCTGGCAGCACTTGCAAATACCGTTCTAAAATGTGTGATAGCAAGCTATGGCAATGCTGCAAAAGCATAATGACGTCATTTATATTGTCGTCACTTCCTGCTGTGGCTGCTGCGACTACAGAGGTGAAGCAGCTATAGCATTAAAGATGGCGACTATCATGGAACAATTAACGCTAATCAATGTAGAAAATAATATCAAATACAATTTAGCCATATCAGCAGAAGACGCTGAGAAAGCAAGAGTCACATATTTCTTTAATGTGATTTTCAAATATTCATCTTTTGCATATTGTTTTCCATATTTTTGAGGTAGATTATATCTGTTTTGTGTTCATTTTCTCTGCTATTGGCATTGAAACTCACTAAAATATTGTTCCAATTTGAAACCTATATTTGTGGTGATAATATGCTTAGCAAAATTAAAACGATGTTGGTAGCTTGCTTTCATGACGACATACTTGCAGCGCTGGCAGTAAATTTGGACACAGCCTAGGTAGGTTCTGTCGAGGCGGTGAAGATATGCCCACAAGCGAGAACGCGTCCGTGAGCTTACACGGTTCTCGTTTGTGGGCATATCCCCACCGCCTCGACAGAACTTACCTAGTAGGAGAGATTGGGTGGAGCGGACGGACGATTCTCCTTGTCCTTCGCGTCTGTTAGCTTGTGAGTAGAGCGAATTCTTGTGACCTGTCAATAGTAAATGCTTGCTGATGTTGTGCGCATCCCCTCCACTTGCTGCTGCATGCTGCAAGCGGTTCAAAACTGGCATCTCTGCACTGGCACCTCTTAAGAAGTAGAAGGATTGGGTGGAGAGGGCGGACGATTTCTTTGCCCCTTGCGGCGTTTCGCTTTTAAGTAGTGTGCCAACATCTCGTCGGCATACAGTAATTACGCAACTAAAACAAACAAATGCGTTGCCAGTGCAGGTTTTAAAAATTTATATATATATATATAAAGTATGTATATTAATGTATATGTATTATAAAATATATATATTAACTTTTATATATACAGGGGTTGGACAAAATAATATGAACACCATGCAATATAGTACAGTTTGTTGCATGGTTGCATTGGCAACACTGCTTCCGTGTAAATAATTCAACGCGTATATAATGCACAGTTTACGTGGCAGGTCTTGTAGGTTATATTTCAGTATATTATACGCTTTGTTCTGCGACGGTTATAACAAGCCATCGGTGAAATGCGTGTGTTGAGATCGGGGGAGTCGAAGGACTTGATGAAGAAAAAGATTCTTTTATAGAAAACTGGCGTAGTTTATTACTAACAAGTTTACAATTGTTGTACAATCAACGGTAAACTCTCCGGATGGACTCGGAGCCACACAGTATTGTCAACAGCTACTTACGATCTGTCTGTCGTTGCTCGCGATCGATCTTTTAAAGGGATCGATCGCGACCATTCAGCAATTTAACGACCCAAATGCTACTGCACGTAGGCCGCTGACGTTGCGTGCTCTGCGACTGTATCCTACTTAATACTACGCTTAACAAGCAGATTTTATTTACAAGGAAATGCTGCTTCTTACCTTTCTAAATAAATTCGGGTCGATTGAGCAATGACGCGTACCTTCCGTAATTGCTCAATGGCCCGTATGAAATTATTCTAGATTTCACAACACGTGATCTCTCAGACTTCGAAAGAGGGCAAATCGTTGGTGCTCGGTTATCGGGAGCGTCTGTGACAAAAACAGCTGAACTGTTTAACGTCTCACTAATGTTTGTTCAACTAATGTTTTGTCCTGAACCGATTGAGACTAAAACGAAGTTGATCGGTTCAGTCGGTCTTGAAATTATGCTCTGTGAAAATCTTTCCACTTCTCAATCGCGTGAATTTTGTGTATAAGAGGCACTACCGTGCCTCTTGATTCAATTTTTCAATACAATTTTTTAATATTTCAATTATCTGTATTAATTGTATCATTTTGAAAGTTTCTCAACGCCAGTTATAAAAATATATAATAATATCTAGGAATTTTTATTTAAAAACTTGACAATAATCTGTACGCGCGCGTAACTTTAGCACATCCAAAAATAAATGATAGCATCATATTCTTTTCCTCTTGGAACTTTGCAATTTTTGTATTAAATATTTAATAAGGTTTAATAAAATACATTGTTTTCAAGAAAGTTATTCGGGAAAATTACTATGAATTATCTCGTGTAGTTAAATAAGAAGAGAATAATTTATACAAAAAAATGTATTGTTAGTGAATTTTAATTTTTCTTAACATTTTTTCTTAATGTAAATCAGGTGACTTCAATGCGGTTCCCTTGATTGCCGGCTATACAAATAATGAGCAAGTTTTGGCGTACATGGAGGCTACCGATGATCAAAAAACAGAAGGTGAACTCTCTCCAGAAAATTTTGAAATGATGATCACAGACGAGTTCTCATCAGTAATCCGAAATCCGAATGAAAACAGTACGTGCGAGTTAAAGCCCGAAATGGTGACAAACGCAGTATTGTTCTTCTATAAGCCATACCCACCTACGATAAATACAACAGTGTTTCGTGATAGATACCTAAATTTTCAAACGGAGAAGAATTTTGCAGCTGGTCTTACACTGTTGGCTGGTAAAGTGGCAAGACATAAATCGAAGAAAGCTTTCGTTTACCGATTCGATTACCGTCCCAAGACGCAATCGGTCATGAAAGACGTGCCGGAATGGGCAGGCGTACCGCACATGTTCGAGCTTCCATTTGTCTGGGGTTTAACACATCTGACAGGCAGTAACATAACGCAGTGGCAATACAACGACAAGAAACAGTCGGAGATAATAATGTTAATGCTGACAATATTTGCCAAAAGCGGCAATCCTTCTATAACATCGTACAAGTGGGAGCCCTTCACACAAGAAAATCCAAGAATATTGATTATCGATAAGAATATTGAAATGGATAAGCCAAACATGGTAGATTATAAAGCACTCGCGTTTTGGAATGATTATTATCCGCTAGTCGTAGAAGATGCAACAAATATTTGTTGTAATGTCACAAACACGGCAACAACATGGAAAATATTTTTTCATAACATGTGTTTCAACGGTGTGATAGTTATTGCGACATTGTATCGCTTGTGTTTATAACTAATGATCACTGTGTAAAGTATATATGGGTAATTCTTTTACAAACCGAACACCATTCTGACCGACCCATTTTTGATTTAGCTGAAACTTTTTTTACGGGTTCTATATCGAAAAAAAGAGACACCTGTTCGAGGAATTTTTATTTTTTTTTATTTTTTTTTAAATAGAGAAGGTTG